ACCAGCAGGTGGCATGGTGGCTAAGGGCGCTGGACTCCTGCATGGCCAGCCACTGATTTGAGTCCCAGATCCGGCAGCTTGAAAATCATGCCAGGCGTGTGTGTGTATGTGTCCAAAATCCCAGGAGGAGAATGAAGATGAGATTGCAGCATGGCCATCCCCCCAGGGGGCTGATGTTTCACTTTCCCTCTCACTGTCTCTCTCTCTCTCTCTGTCCAGTGAGCACACATGGCCTATGGCAAAAATCTGAAGTGAGTAAATAAATAAAAACTTAGGTTATTAAAGTTCTATTCTCTCCTGGAGCCCACCTTAAGAAAGGCTCTGAATTTAACATCATCCAGCACTCTTCACAATACATAGAAATGTACTCCGTAAGTGTCTTTCAATAAAGAAATAAATGAATAACTGCTTTTTAGGCATTTGAAGGTCCATTCATTCTATGCTTTAACAATTTTCTGGCAAGAAGTTTACTTTCCCTGTTCATCTATTGAGAGATGAAGTGAATAACATAGATAAAAATTTTAACATGAAATTATTCTCATCTTGTCAAAATAACAGAATGATTTAGAAATGGACTTTATTTTAGCTATTATAAACATATAGATATATTTGTAAGCCTTAACATTTTAACCATGATTAAACAAATTTATAATAGCTACTTTTGTCAGAAATTCCACTCACATTTTACCTCTAATTTCTATTTTAATCATTTTGTTAATAACATCAAAGGGTGGTATTAGCTTCTTTTTATGAATATGAAAACTGAAGCTCATAGACATTATTAACTTGACCAAGGTTAAATAGTAAGGGTTAGGGTCAAGATTCCAAACTAGAGATATCTGATGGTAAAGTATTACTCCTTCCATTTGAGGGCACTACTGCTTTGGACAAATAGTTTAGGTTTACTTAATGTATGGTTACATAACCTCTTCTATTTGGAGGTAGAATTATTTGACGCATATTGGCAACATAGAAAAAAAATACACTAACAAGATGTAAAGGATGTTAAACCATCAGTTCTTAGCACAAAGAAATGCAGTGTCCTTCCTCTTTCTTTTCCTCAGTTTTTCCCTTACTTTGCCTATTCTTTTGTTCTCACATGACTATAAAGTCCAAGCCTTTTTTCTTTTTTTTTTCTCTTTTTTTCTTTTTCTGGAGAGGTTTTTCCTATAGGGCGCATGCGTTCGCCAGACAGAGAGAGACAGAGAGACAGAAAACGAGAAATCACCCCCCCAGGAGAGATGGCCACGCTGCAATCCCTTCTCCTCCATTCTCCTCTTGGGATCTTGGGCACACACGCACATGTGCCCGGCATGAGTTTTAAGCCACTGGGTCTGGGACACGAACTGCGGTCGACTACATGGGAGTACAGCGACATAGCCATTATGCTAACTGCTGGTCCCCAAGCCTTTTGAAAATAAATGACAAAATGCTGCTGGACTCAACTCCTCTCTTCATTCCATCTCTCTCCAATATGCAAAAGGATGTATACGTGTATATAAAATATATAAATAAGCCTTAAATATCAGAGAAAGAATTAGCAAAATATTTTGCAAACTTAAAATGATACATTCTGTATGTACATCAAAGGTCAAGATAAAGGAGAAAATTTACTCCTGAGAAAAGTGAGTAGAAAGGGTTTTGAAAAGTGTCTAGCAGATTGTACCACTGATGTGGAGGCCAAGTCCAAGTTCAATGGCATGCTATTGGCTCCCAGACTAGAGGTCAACCTGAATCTACCCAAATGTTTTCATCCATTTATTCCAGATGTATTTATTAAGTATGTCCTAGGTGATAGGGAGACAAGGACCTGACCTGCATTGGTAGTCATAGTTACTGGTCAGTTTGGGAGTGACAATGGGGGCCCATGCCAACTAAGGAATGAGTCACTGCAAAACCACGAGTGCTGGGGGTTCTGAAGGAAAGTATTAAATTCTGTTTTGATGGAATTTCTTCTTTTATTTTTTTCTAGGAATTGCTCTCTCATCTCATCCAGAATGACTTATTTTTCAAAAGTATGAATGATCTTGGTATTAGGATACTGTCCTGTGTTATATTTCAGTTATGGTGCCAGAAAAGACTCCCCCTGGCACTAACTGGTTGTGTCCTCTTACACCAACCAACACTACCTAATAGAAACACAATTGAGTAATGTGAAATATAAAATTTTCTAATTGCTGCACTAAAAAAGTATAAAGATTCATCTATCTTTATAGGTATTATATTTAACTCAGTATTCCCAAAATATCATTATTTCACTCAGTGGTTAATGTAAAAATGAGATTTTGCTTTTCTTCCTATGAAATCTTCAATATTCACATATACCATGTTTCTACTGTATGGACCATGTAGATCTCCACTTCTATAACTTATTATCTCCAGAAGAGAGAGAAAGAAGAGGGACACCCCAAAAAGAGTTCTCACATGATTCACCCCTGGTCTCAGCTAGCCCAGTCTTGCATGTGTCCACTGTGCCCAGGGAGGTCTTGGAATGTGAAACCAGGACCTTTCCCATAAAGGTACAGTTGCACCATTGTCCCACCACTGGCCCCCGTTTAGACAGCGAATATAAACATTGGGTCAATAATGTCGAAAAGTGAAACTCTTATCTTTCACACTTGAGACTAAAAACTAAATTGCTTCTATCTACTTAACTTTTAGTTTAACATTATGTATGGTCATTTTATAATCTGACAACACAAACTGAATAGAAAAGCAGTAATATTGTTTTGTTCATTTTTACTAAACTTTTCACAAAGGAACAAATTCAAAATATGGTGTTACAAGAGCTCCATCTTGTGGTATTGTACTTACGTTGTCAACGTGAAATTTGGGGAAAAGTAAATAATGCTAAACAATTATGTAGAATTATGTGTTTAGGAAGTGATCAGCAGAGGAACAATCATTTTCATATGCAAGTCCTCAAGTTGTATGAGCTGAGTGTTATAATCTTCCCTGTCAGAGGACATGGGAATGCTTATTTTTGGGTGCCAGACAATGCTCCAGTGTTAATGCTGGATATGGCAGGTCTGCTTCATTGCTAATGTTAATATATTGCTTCAGTGGAATGTGAGGCTGAAACAGAACATCAACAAAAGACCAATGTGCATGAACAAATCGAGAGTTGGACACTCTAAAATATAATACCAACAATAAGTGACAATAGAACTGCTACAGGACTGTCATATCTGAACTTTATTAGAATAAGGGACTTGATGAAGCCACAACTGCCATTAAATGGGCACTCCAACTAACGAGAAATACTAGTTGGTCCTATACTGTATTAGAATGATCAGGAATGAAATGACCATGAGAATACAGACTGCTCACCAGCTTGACTGGAAGAGCCAAGAATGTTATTCTAGAGTCAGACCTGCTCCCAGCCTGGGTCAGCCTAAGGGCCCTTCTGAATGTAGTCATGTATTCTTTTTTTTCTTTTGGAGAGATTTTCGCTATAGGGCGCATGCGCTCACCAGACAGAGACAGAAAGACAGAAAGCGAGAAATCCCCCCCCCAGAGGGGATGGTCACGCCGCAATCCCTTCTCCTCCATTCTCCTCTCGGGATCTTGGGCACGCACGCACACACACGAGCCCGGTGTGAGTTTTAAGCCACCGGGTCTGGGACGCGAACCGCGGTCGACTACGTGGGAGGCCAGCAACATAGCCATTACGCTAACTGCTGGTTCCTATGTATTCTTGTCACAAGAACCATCTAAAGAATTATTCAACATTTATTTTGCTTATATTTAATGCATAAAACAGGTAGGCTGTCTTTGGGTTCTAGAATACAAAGAGGAGTTTCAGTAAGCTTTAAGCTAGTAGTGATTTTCTACAATATAATAATTTAAAAAATACTATATATCTCTCTGAATCCATGAAAATCCAAACAAGGTATTTATTCTAACCTGTTCTTGGTGAGTTCCCAGCCTATTTTAGTCTGAGAAGGTAAATTCATTCTTTAGAGAACTCTACACAGCTACAATGTGGTTTAGCATCCTGTGCCTAAGCCAGTATCAACTCCAAGCCAAGCAATCACATATCTCAGAGTCCCAGGGAGGAACTCATCTCAGTATTTATCAGGTAGCCACTTGAAGGGTCTGAGGAAAGACTTCTGTTCATCTTTCCCTTTCCTAATTCTTCCAAAAGGGTGGGTCTACTTTTTAAAGTTATATATTGGGTTATCGGAAGACGTAAGTTATTTTTTTACGTAAAAATATGTCGTGACTTTTCCGACAACCCAGTATTTCATGACACACTACCCTAAAACTTAGAGGCTAAAATAACAAATATATGTTATCTCATAGTTTTTTAGAGGTCAAAAATTGGGAGTCTAGCTGATGTCTTGGTTGCAACTCAGGATGTCTGCAGGGACCAACGTTGCCTAAACGCTTGACTAAAGCCAACAGTTGGCTTTCAAGAAAACCCAGACTTAGCAATTGGCAGGAAGTCTCAGTTTTTCTCCATTTTTCAAAGACCACAGTACAACAAAATGGGGGCCTTTCTGTAGAGTTTTCATAATTGACAAATACCTTCCCCCGGAGAAAGAGAGACGAATGCTCCTGCCTGGGCTTATCACTAATGCAAAGGCTTGATTAATCAAGAATAGTATTTTATCATACACACTTTAAACTTTCCTGGTATTTAGCAATGAATGATCGTAATTAGTATTTCTCCAGGTGTTTATAATCTTCCTGTATTGAATCATCTTCAGATCTTTTTATTTCACGATTCAATTCCTTAACTACTGAATCAAACTATTTGGAGTAGATAAAATGGAATGAGAATGAAGCCTGGGAAATTTTAAAAACTACCCAGAATAGAAACAAAGATCCATTCAATGCCTGTGCAAAATGCAAATGTAGTCTACTATAGTTCCTAGTTTAAACTTTTCCAGGTTTAGATTGTTATAAAAATAAAAAGTTAACAACATATATAACAACTAAGTAAGCTTATAAGTTTATTTATAATAGAACAAAATTTATTTTATATGTATATTCAAAAGACACATAAAAATATAGAAATATTTATATTTACAAAAATATATACAAAATATTAAAACAGACTTCAGAAGGAAAACAAGCAAGATTTCACAAAGAACTTTTGTAGAAAAATATGCACACTGAAAAAAAGACTCAAGAAAGGCAACAAAACATTTAAAGTCAACAAACTTCAGGACTTGATAGTTCAATTGGTATTAATTTAGTAAGGCAAATAAAATGCCTGAAATGCTAATATATGGTAAGCCAAATTCATGTTTAAGATTTTCCAGGTAAAATTACATGGCTTTCTTTTACTATAAAATTTAATGAATTTTATTTTACTTTCTGAATCACAAATAATTACCTAACTAGTTTTCCTCTTTTTCATAAAATATTTCAATTTTCTAATTTGTACTGAGAATTTTAATCTTTCTGTATTAAGTTGTAAAATACTTTAAGAGGTTGTATGTCTTCTTTAAGATTTGCTGGAAAAAAACTCCAGATACTACCCTAATTGTAACATAAAACTAGAAATCAAAATACTTTTTTTTTTTAAAAAATACCAACATTTTCTAACTAACCTTCAGGATCAGCTATAATTACTTAACAAGAGATTACAATCTTCGTAAATTCTTTTTACTTTTTTTAGTACCAGGCAGAGGACCCATTTTACAACCAGCTTTTAGGAGTTTGCCATTTGAACAGTCTTTGGAGGCATGATAATCACACAGACACCTTGTACAATAATCAAATCCACAGCCTTCTCGTTTGCAGGTTGCTCGCTGTAAGTAGCTATCAAATTTTGCAGGTGATTTACAGCGAATACAGGCTTTGAGACTTTCGTTCTTTTTCAAAGTCTTTGCAACCTATAAAGAAAAAAATTTGTAAACAAATTTTAGTAAGGACCAATGGCAATGTGGTTAGTAAAGCCAAAAGATGCACCTTTGTGCCTTTCCCAATACATAAAGCACCATAAAGCACCGTGTCAGTCATTAGACAACCTGTGTCCACAAGGAGCTTGCTATTCAGTGGGTGAGAGCATCATTGTCTATTGGCCTTACGGCTATTTCAAACTCCTATTGATATGCTTTATTTTATCTGACTAATGCTATATGAACAACAATTCCTAACTTAAATGTTACCTTTTCTGTAAAGGTTTTTTCCTGGTATCCAAGAGTGAGGTGTACTTTGGCACTAGTTGTACCTTAATTTACATGTTGTATTAGTCATTACATCACAAACATTTAAGACAAACTGAATTATATTATACAGAATTTATATTTATTCACAACATTTGAAGGGGTCAAACCATATACTCTTAGATAAGATTATGCACAGCTTTCTTAATTAGCTTGCAGAATTATTGACATTTGAGTAGAACAATCGCCCAGTAATTTGAATAGGCCTCTGACTTTTGAAAGCTGGTGTGTGTTTTCCCTTAGTTCTATTTCTCAGTTATTGCTATTTATTTTTAAAATTTTATGTCTATCTCTCTATTTTCGAGTAAAATGAAGGAGACAGAAAGTATAATGTCCATCAATTCCCTAACAGTTCTATATTTATTATAGTTAAATTTAAACAGTCATTAACATCAAGTATCCTAATATGATAGGGAATATTTTAGATAGTATATGGAACAAAGTTATAGTTTAACCTTGAAAGTTTTCTTTTTCTCACTTTTAGGCCCTTTTAACAGTCAATACCCCATATATCTCTTATTTATTGATTAAACAAAATTACCTCAGAAAATTCACTGTGTCGACTGTAAGTAGAAACTTTTTGATCACCTGGATTGGATAACTTAGTCTGACCATCTTTTTTTGGAGGAGCCTGGGCTCATTTCTGAACAGAAGCCAATGCAGTTCTCAATGCAACATATTCTCTGGTTGTAGCGTGTGGTGAAAATTTAATGTTTTTTTCCTAATAAAAAAAAAATAATAGGACTTAAAATATTTTTTCATATATACACATATGTGTGTATGTATATATATATATATATATATATATATATACACACACACACTATTTTTTCTTTTATAAACGTTTTTGCCATAGGGCACATAAGCTTACTAGAAAGATAGTGAGAGGGAAAGTGAGAAACCAACCCCAAGGGGAACGACCACTCCATTACCCCTTCTCCATTCTCTTCTCAGGATTCTGGGCATGGCCCCACACACATTCAACATGATTTTCAAGTCATCAGGCCTGGGACTTGAACTGTGATTGGCCATGTGGGAGTCTAGTGCCTTAAGCACTATACCACCTATCGGCCCCCTTAGTTTCTATGTTCTCAACAGACACTTTTATGTTTATATTTATAAGAAAGGACTCATTCCCACATCCAGTTTACCTGCACATGCTTACACACAACTACATAAAACTATTCACAGACACAAAGTCTAACTAACTGACAGAAACTGTGGACCAGGAATGAGGCAAAATTACTGTGTATTTTATATAGCATTTAATACACAATTTATACTAAACAATATCAACATACTCCTGCCAAAACAAAAGGTCATTCTTCCTACCACCAAGAGATAGCAGTTTAAATAGTCACCTGGTGTTAAGAACAGATTTGAAACCTTTTAGGTTAGGTTTTCCACTAAAAGTTGTCTATCAATGAAAAAAACTTAAGTTGGAGGATTTAAGAAATACCTGCATAGTTACACAACTAGTAAGTAGCAGCACCAAATGTGGAAATAAGTCTAATTCAAAGGCTTGAACCTCTAATCATGTATTAATATTGATTCTCAGTAACACCTACAAGTTACCAAATACTTTACTTTATTTACATATTTATTTATTTGAGGTTTTGACCTTACAGTGTATGCCCTTGCCAGATGAAGAGAGAGACAGAAACAATGAAAGGGAAAGTGAAAAATGACCCTCCCCTCCCACTAGGGGATCTTGGCATGCATACGCGTAGGACATGATGTTGAAGACACAGGGTCTGGAACTCAAAATGTGGTTGGCCATGTGAGAGTCCAGTGACATAACCACTATGTCATCTGCCAGTCCCACTACCAAATTTTTTAAGGGAATAAAAAGAATCTTAATATGTCAACCATTTACTGGTTTTCTAGGAAGTAAAAAAATACTCTTTTTACAGCATTATTTGTTCACAATTAAGTGCAAATAACATACTTTTCAAACATGCAAGGCAATCACAAGCGACTATACGGTCAATTCTCTGAGAACTGGGTAATTTTCCCTTTTACTATGGACATTTTATTTCTAGGGAGAATCCAATAAATAAATGACTTAAGTAGAATTTTTTCTCTATTTTTGAATTTGATTTTTCTTAATGGGTGCCAGTGAAAGTCTGAAACCCTTTTTAAATATAAAAAGCATTTCCAGATTACCCATTTTCTTTCCTATTTATCTCTTATTTCCAAAGAGTAGTAGCAGTGTACTTTAAAAAGGAAAACAACTGTGAAAACTTACGGTCACTCTTTGCACTGCTTTACTATACAACTGGAATGCTCCTTTATCATCTTCTAGAATCTTCTTCCAAGTTGTGCTCACTTTAGACACACTGGAAAAGTAAATGATCATAAGGGAAACAATTAAAATTCAGAAAAAGTTAAATACAGAAAATACTTAAAGTGTACTTAAGATTTAAGAGTTTTATGTTCAGTTATTTGGGTTTAATTAGTCTAAAGAAGGTCCACGGTTGTGTATTTTTTAGGTCACCATCAGGTAATTCTAAGTGCATTCATGCGTAAGGATCACTGCTTTGTACTTTATATTTTTTCATGTCTGCAAACATCAAATAAGTAGCCACCATTGTATATATACACATCAGCTATTTGGCAAGTTATAGACAAATTTAAAAGTACTCTAGCATGCTGCTACTAGTAGATAACAATTAAAAAATCTATTCTGCTAATAGAAAAAATAGGAACAAATCCATAGCTTCATGATTAATGGATCATACATGGCTGACAGAAGCTTGAATCCTGGCTCCTGCAGTTTGAGAAACATGCTGGGTGTATATGTCCACCCAAGATCACTCTACCTCTCTGTCTCTCCAGTGAGCATATGAACTAGAGCATACACTAATTAAGAAAGATAAACAGAAAAGAAAGATAAAAACACCAAGTATGTGCCCAAAGTTGCAATAGGATCGAGAAATGGAGAAGAAAGAATTGTGGCATGACCAAGCTCCAATTGGAGGTGATTGTTACACTCTCTGGGGCAAACACACCCACTGGTAATAATAAATGAATAGATAGATAAATAAATCTCTTAAGGAGCAATAATCACCTGTATCTATCTTGTTTCAGCTATTTCAGACTAGTTTAAAGACATACTCACAAAGAATACTTCTTAAATAATTTTCAAAAAGCCAAAACATGAACCCAGTTGACAGTTAAGTCTATGCTAACTGCAGTCAGTATAATCATGTTTTGAATTCTCAATTATTTTATTCTAA